ACACTGGATGCACCGACAGTAGACAACCCGATCTGTGACCTACCGTCCATTGAGTCTGGAGCAGAAGTTGGTACATCCAATCAGGACGATCTCTCAGGTGATAATGTGCATGAAAGTGCTGAACTACCTGAGAGCCATTCAGAAGTTGATGAGCTCCCTTTGGACCACGAGAACAGTCTTGCAGAGCCCGGTTCTCCGATGCCAGTTCCTGACATACCAGCCGCTCCTGAGGGACCGGACCAAGCCGCACCACAACCTCAGCCACAGCCTGAGCCAGTAGCACATGCGGAAGAGGGCCGACCATGTAGAGAGCGTCGTCCTCCGATGATGTTCCAGTATGCCAGACTTGGAGAACCCTCATATCAGCCAATGGACCCTCGCATCGCACTTGTCCAGAGTGGTGCTGCACCTCCTTGGGGAATTCCACTGAGTGGTATGCCACCTGTTATGGTCCCACCGCGTTACATTCCCTCTCCATCAATGATGCCACCCAGCTTGATGTGGACCCACTGGCCTCCGCAGCCAAGTATGGCTCCAAGAGAGTGAATCGTTGACGAGTCAACAGCCAGTAACAACATCGAAGAAGAATCACTGCGCAGTGTACCCCGGGGAAGGATTTGTCATCAAGTGCATCGATGGATCGCCGTCAACAATCTGCCTCGATGACAGTCGTAGCCCACAGTTGAAGATGTTACTGTGCTTGTCATCCAGTTCCAGCCCATTTCACCAATGATCTTAGACACTGAGATCTGAGGACGACTGGAAGTGGAATCAGCTACTCCATCAGCCCTGAATCCCACCCAGCTACTTCGTCGAGGAGAAACGGCCTAGTAATGGATGAGCAGCATGCTCCTGAAATGGACATTACGTGAACTGTTTCTCTAATGAACAGGACTCTGTATCAAGTAAATTTGAATTTGTTAATGTTGAGGACAACATTTCTTTTCGCAGGGGCGAGTGTAGAGGTCATGGAAATTGCACCCCCCCTTTTTTTAATTGTTGGTTAACTTTTTCCCCCTTCCTATAATGCATCGACCCAGAATTGTTCTCCCCTGTAACATAATGGACTTGACCAAAAGTGCCACATCAGCAGGGACAGGAAGTTGCCTTCATTGTTCCTCATGCAATGTTCAAGGCAACACCATCTTCATTAAAGTCACAAGCTTTCCTGCATTCCTGACTGGTGTATTTCCATTATTTTTACAGGTATGTTGATCTATCATTTTATCTTTCATTTCTGTATTATACCTTGTCATAGATATCATTGGAATTGTGTTTTGTTATTGTGGTACTTTATTTTAATAACAAGCGACATGAAGAAATCAGTTGTTTAGTCTTGAGACATTGAGATAGTCAATTCCTTGAGAGTGTGAGGCTTTCTGTAGGAATAACAAGGTTCCCTCCTTGACTAAAGTATTCTTTGGAACCTTACTGCATTTTTGCCAAGTTTTCTGAAAGATGAGGTTCTAGACAGCTGTGATAGTATGATTTTAATATGATGAATTATGGTTCATGTCAAGACAGCTGATTTGTGAAGTTTGCGTAATTTAGACCAAGGATTGTTGCAAGGTTTCTTGGATGCCAGAATTAGTTATGTATAAATAGTGATTTTAGTTAAGACCGATTTCTGAACAATCATTTTGTGTTTTAGAGTTCGAAGTTTTTGTAAGTTACATGTACATGTGTCTTGTGATTTTGCCATACTACCTTTACTTAGAACAAAGGAACCTTGAGACATGTACATGGGTCAGCCAAGACCATGCTGAGTCCAGTGCATGACTCGTGTTCATTCAGCCAGATATAATCCCGGATTGTTTATCTCAGCCACCTGTGGGAAAGTGCAGTTGGGCTGTGTGATAGTGATATAGACTTATGTATGGGCAAGTATGCCAGAGAACAGCATATTGATAATTGCTAAGGCTAGCTAGTATCGATATTGTGTTAGGTTGATAGGTTAGCTCATGGATACATATCGATATCGCAAGTGTTTTCTAAGCAATCAGAGTTTTAAGGAATTTATCATTGCGTTATGTGTTTTGCCAGAATTTGTACTTACTCAATCATTTCTTCATTGTTCCTCATGCAATGTTCAAGGCAACACCATCTTCATTAAAGTCACAAGCTTTCCTGTATTCCTGACTGGTGTATTTCCATTATTTTTACAGGACTGCGTATCACATCATATTTTAATGTAACACCTGCACATGTATGCCCTTTCGGTCATACACGGGTGTAACAAGAGGTTATTTGTTGCCATTCATTCAAATTGGATGTAGTTTTGCCACACAAAAGTTATGTGGTTTATATTTCTCTGAAGTTGTGGGACATACATGTACCCGTGATCACCTCCGTTTTCCACTTCCTGTTTTTCTTGGTGGTGCTTCTGTGCTTCTTTGATAGAAAGCTGGTTTGTTGGCAGTGGCCTGGCCTTTTGGCAGCCTACTTTTTGTAATGACAGGGCCTTCTCACTGAAAGCGCCACTGTGTGGTCACGCCTCTTGGATACCTGTTAGTACCGCACGGGGCTGTGATATTGGATGGGTAATTTCATTTTGGGTACTCGTCATGACAGGGTTGGCAGCAAATGGTCTTGCTCTCAGTTACATGCATGGTCTTTTTTATGATCTTGGGGAGAGATTTTCACCAGGCAGCAAATCAAACCCTACTGGCACATGCCACACTAAGGTTTGTGTAGGGGTCTCAGATGATGACTTCTTTGTGAAAGTGGTAAATATATATGAATGAGGAGGTCATCATCCATATAGCATTAGTGAGAAGTAGCAAAATAGTGGAGCCAGTTACAGGCTTAGCATGTGCGTCAGTTGATCGAGCATCCTGGATGAGCAGAGTGATGGGTGCCAAGGCCTTCAGGAGAAGAATCTGTTGTGTTTGCATTAATAAATTGTAGCTCCTTTCGTGGCTTCTTGAAAATCACTTTGCTGGTACATGGCACATTCTCTAGCTGGGAAAGAACATCTGGAAGTGGTCTTTTCAATGTTGGTAAAGTAAGAATGCCTGTGTGGTGCAGTCCTTGGTTCAGTATTGCAGCTATTTTTAAAAAGCCGGGCCTTTCAGCTCATCTGTGTCAAAAAGTTCCTAAAGTTCTGCAAGTGCAGTATATAGGTTTTCATAGTTGGTGAGCCCTGAAACACTTCTTCAATGTCCTTTACTATCTACCACCCTGGTGATTTCTTATTGCTGCACTGCAGCTTAGAAATTAAGGTATAAGAGGTTATGTAAAGTTCATTAGAAATCAAAGGACAGACGGTATGCAAGATCCCTTCACATGCTCCAAAGCCCACAGAAAAAAAAAATGGGTCTTCCAAGTCCAGAAGCAATAATCTGTAAGATATTGTGTATATTTCAGTTCCGTACAAAAATTGGCGGTCAAACTCCTAAAAATTTGTAAAATGGGTCCCTTGTTCTCACAAGAACTGTTGATGCGTGCCACAAGCAGAAGCAAACTGATTATAGTAAGGCTAGGTTAGGCCCTGTCATGGAATACCTACATGAAATGTGTTACATAAGACCTATTATTGCCTTTCTCCACCCAAGTTTTACTGTGTAAGTTGATTCAAAGGAAGGCTACATGAGCAAAACAAGCTCCTGCTCCTTAAATGGATTCTTACAGATCAGCTTAAAAGTGATAATACAAAACAGCAGTGTGTCTTTGGTATGGCACTAAGATGTCATGATCTAAGATCAGGTTATAGCCAGCTTTTCATCAAAACATTAACAAGAATAAGATTTTAAAAGTTATAACAACCAATATGTAATGTACTTTATCTACAAATGTATCAAAATGTCACAAAATTATAATGTACTTCGGGGAATTAACTATTAAGCAAGAGTTTAAGACTTCCTGAGGGGGACTATTACTAAAAAAGATTTTACCTTGTTGCAAGGACTGCGTCTTCTAACTCATAGGATTTTGTAGCAGCCATTTTGATAACATCAGGTGGGACTTCAGCAAGTCTTGCAACATTCATACCATAACTTCTAGCTGCAATGCCTGGTACCAGTTTGTATAAGAAGGTAATGATGTTTGTGTCGTCATCTTTTTCTGTTGGAAAAAATCAAAACCACAGTGATACTGCTGACTCTATTCAGAATATTCACATTTTATCTTATTTCTGTTTTTTATTATGTTTTTGGAAGGGAGTTAGGTGTTTAAATTTTTAGCTGTTCCAAATCCCAGCAGCTGTTGAACAGGTAATGGCATCCGTTTTCTTAAGATTTGTGAGAAATGCCAGCAGACCAGCTGAAACAGCTTTCTGAAGATTTTTGTTTTCTTGTCTCTCTTCTTTGACCTTTGCAAATCCTGAAGCATACATGTAACATGTTTTCATTCAGAGCCCTGCTTTAAGTATTGGGGCCTTTTTATATCCAAACTCGTGTGAACTTCAAAGATACTGGGATTATCTGAAGATGTGAACTGATCACTGATATTGTGATGATGCCAACACAAGTCGGGTACCAAGCTGACAATGTTGCATTTTTGCAGGCCAATATCTCTTCAATCAATGCGATAGACATGTTATGTGTGAAAACTGGGGGAAATCATCATGTCACTTAATATTCTATGAACTGTTTTATTTTTCATATTTTCATAAATCATCTTGACCTTGTATGTATTTCCTGAATGAAACAAAGTACATGTACATGTATACACCAAGTTCTATCTATAATACCCTTGTACATGGTAAATTACACTTGATGTAAAGGTAATGAGCCATTTCAGTATTCCACCAGTGCATGCCCAGAGTTCTAACAATTCTCTAACTTTTGTGACTCAATTTGAGTCAAGTCATGTTAATGAAGTGCGACTCAAGTCAAGTCATTGTAATAAAGTGCTCAAGTCACTCGGCCAAAAGAGTCGAGTTTAGTCAAATCTAAACATTTTGCTTGAGTCAATTTGAATCACGAATATTTGAACACAAAACAATAAATAACAACAAGAGGGAAAATCATGGTTTGGTCATTTTAAAATTCACAGCTGGGTTTTTACATTTTTCTCAACACATCATACCTTTGATAAAATGGCACAAACATAAACCAGCAGTTGCAAAAAAATTATTTTATTTTGTCTGCAAAGAGCTTTGCTTTCATTTTTGAAACTCAATTCTTATTAACCACTTTGTGCCAGTTGCAGTTATCAATATTGATGATGCCAGGGCGGGATAATTATCGTTCTTTCTGTTTTCAAAATTCTTTAAAAATTCCTATCGTCTTACTGGACACTTACACCCATACAAAGGACTGTCTGGTTTCTACTCTAATCTGACAGACAACATCTATTGATGCTGGAGTATTTCAACCAGGCCTGTCGCCTTGTAAAAAGAGCCCATATTTTGTGGTGTTTTCTTTTGTTCACAAAACTGGCACAGTGCACTGCTGACCTCTTTTCAATAGGGGCCAGATTAAGGTGCAGCGGTACAGTGTGGCTCATCGCTGCGGTGGTGGAGTACTTCTGTCCCCAGTAGTAATCTACTTGCGCTAAATACCCCAAACCATGGTATACTGTTTAAAAACAAGGCTGGATTATCGACACTTTTGAGAGTGAAAAAATGTTGGTAATGCCCAGCAGCCTGGTCTTTTGTTACAAGTACAGTCTTTTTTTACAAGGCCCAGTTCCCTTTGTCTGAATTGGAGACCCAGACACATGTATAAAGAATTTGTGTCCGTTACCAGAAATCCTGGCGGCAAGTGGTTAATTTTCACTCAAGTCAGGTCTTCTGATGACAAACTCAAAGTTGAATGAAGCCATTTGCTTGCAGTTACTCAAGTTGAGTCATTTGCCTGTCAGGACTTGAGTGATGAATTGAATCATCTGACATTGGGATTCAATTTCAAGTTGGACCCAAGTCGAGTCACTGATGAATCAAGTCATTGCAACTCTGCCCATTTCCTAACTGAAGTGTGTCTGAGGTTATTTGGGAACAACAGCATACATGAGCAATAGTCTGTTCTATTGGCCCAGTTGTGCACCAACTCATTATATGCACGCACGTTGTTCCTGAATCAACATGCTTTTTGGAATATCAAACGGCTCATTTGGGACATTTTTAAATCAATGACATCATAAGAATTGTAAACTTTCACAATGCACACAAGGGAAAACCTGATCGTCTTGGTGGGCAGGTACATGTGTAAAATCAGAGTTCCTCATGTTAAATGTAAAGTGACTTCACAATGTTGTCATCTACTAAGGTTTAATAATTGTTAAATATTTATACTTTAGAAGTTTCAATTCTAGAAAGTCTTTCGAGAAGTGCGCCCCTGACAATAATGTAAAGATGATCCACAAAAGCAAAAGCAGTCCAAAATCCAAGAAAATCCAAGCAAGCAATAAATGCAGCGAGCTTTCTGTACATATAGCATGAATAACGCCATTTTTTTACAGTCCTTTTACAGTGCTATGTCTGTGCTGAGATGACATCTGTATGGTGATAAAGTTGTCATTAAGCTTACTCAGGTCCAGGTGCTGGAAAATATTATAAAAAACAGCTCTCAATAATCTTGGACAAATATGGCACATTAAAAACCCATTGGCAGTTGTCCAACCATTCACAGTGCTACATTAGGTTTCTTGATAATTAGGTGTGATGAAAGCCTCCCTGAAAGGTGACGAAATCCTGCTGGAACAGAAGGATGTCATGACTATGCAGCTCATATAAGAGACAAGTCAACATTCTCCTTCAGCAACAAGGTTAGGAAGGGGTCAAGAGAGCATCATAAGCAATGTGGTGGGAACACAAAAATCCCTCAGACCCCTTTGTATGAACTTATCCACAAACTGCATGGACCTGGTCAAACCATTTACTGTGATCATTGCCTAAGCAAGTCTTTTTGTAAGATTTCCTCTTCCAAGCCCTTCTTTCCTCATAGATTTCATTTGTGTACAACAATGGGCAAGTTGTAAGTTTATGCAAAACATTCTGAAAAAGGCAAAAGACAAAACCCTGAAATTTCCTTCTTCATGCCTACATGTACAGTGCAAGCTAAAATGCCATCATGTCTGCCCACAGCCCACACTGCCAGCCCTGAATTTACTGTGATTTATTTTCTTAAAGCTTTAGAAGCATGGGTATGGTCCTACATGTACCTGTTACATCTTCATGCAGCAGAAATCCCATGTGATAATTGGTCACCTGGTCTGGGAATTGCCTCTCCAGCTCAGCCAGTGGTGGGTAGTGGGTTACAAACAGTAACAGACATTTCACCTAGTTAGGGAAAAAATGCAAAACAAAGGTCATTACTGTGACAGGTCACTTTTGTATGTTATTTGTATAGGGCCCTCAGTTGGC